CCTGAAGTATCCCACTCTGCGGTCTTATTTCTATATGGTGCCCTACGAGGTGCCAAGGTTTTATTATAGACTGCTCATGGAAATTATCTAGAGAAAGTTGTAGATGAGCGCATGGACGCATTCCTTATCCCGACCTTGAAACTTGCCCTCTGTTAATGTGGTTTCAGTACTTTTTTTCTTTTTTTTTTTTTTTTTAACTGTATAGGCGTTTTCTGTGCGGCTGAACACGTATAACTGCCGCATCTGCTCCTCGATGCTGACGTTGCAATAGCCCGGCAACAGCCAGATGGAGCTCCCGGCGATTTCACGGGGTCGTTATCAACCTTGCCGAACTCATTAAGGCCTGGCTACCAGGAGGGCAATAAAGTGGGAGTTGTTATTAGCCACCTGATGCCCATGCAAGCTTCCCCCCAAAATCCTCATTTTATTTTTTTTTATTATTATTATTTAATTATATTATTATGACACACAGATTATGCACTTTTAAAAACTAATTTTTAGGAAAAAGCAAAATGACACAAAGTAGGAACATCTATGAGGAAGTAATATTTTGGAATTTCCTACGTGATTCCTGACGTGTGAATGAATTCGTTGTTGATGTGAATTACTAAGAAAATCCTTTTTTCTTAGCGGCCTCATTATACTCACTTATCATTAGGGTACGGTGACGCAGCGAACCTGTCCTTCACCTCTCACTCTGTCTGAAAACTTTATAAGCCTTTGACGATGTCCCACGCGGTCTCTAAGTTGGAGAGACATGGATAACAGATGGACCGCTTGGTGCATAAGGAACTGGCTGGACAGTCACACTCAAAGAGTTATGGTCAATGGTTCCATGTCCAAATGGAGACCAGTGACAAGTGGTGTTCCTCAGGGGTCAGTACTGGGACCTGTAGTGTTAACATCTTTGTTGGTGACATGGACAGTGCAGTGGAGTGCACCCTCAACCGGTTTTCTGATGACACCAAGCTGTGTGGCGAGGTAGACACGCTGGAGGGGAGGGATGCCATCCAGAGGGACCTGGACAGGCTGGAGAGGTGGGCCCATGCCAACCTCATGAAGTTCAACCAGGCCAAGTGCAAAGTCCTGCACTTGGGTCGGGGCAATCCCAAGCACAAATGCAGGTTGGGTGGAGAAGGAATGGAGAGCAGCCCTGAGGAGAAGGGCTTGGGGGTGTGGGTGGATGAGAAGCTCACCATGAGGCGGCAATGTGCGCTGGCAGCCCAGAAAGCCCCCCACACCCCGGGCTGCATCCCCAGCAGCGTGGCCAGCAGGGCGAGGGGGGAATTGTGCCCCTCTGCTGCGCTCTGATCTGGGGGATGGGGGCCCGGCCCCGGCCGGGGCTTCCAAAATGCGTGAAGTCAGCAGAGCGCTGTCATCTGGAGGCAGCCAGCCAGGTGGGTCCCCGTAGGGCGTCCGCGTCTGCAACGTTATGCACTGATGTGGCTTCAAACTGGAAGAGGGGAGATTTAGATTAGATATCGCGGAGAAATTTTTCACTTTGAGAGTGGTGAGGCACTGGTCCTGGTTGCCCCGAGAAGCTGTGGCTGCCCCATCCCTGGAGGTGTTGAAGGCCAGGTTGGACGGGGCTTGGAGCAACCTGGGCTGGGGGGAGGTGTCCCTGCCCAGGGCAGGGGGGTTGGAACTGGATGGTCTTCAAGGTCCCTTCCAACCCAAACCATTCTATGATTCTATGGTAAGTAATCTTACCTTTTTTGAATTTTCATGGCATAGCTGCAACTTCAACCAATAGAGACAATAACGAGTTTTCCTTCCATAAACAGTGTCTTCTGCGCCATTCAATATAGCGCAGTCATCGCAGCGTTTCAGGAGGATTTTTGCCTTTGGAAACAGAAGTGGGAGCAACATTAAGCTTTGCTTTTCACTGTATTTTCTGGATGTAACGATGAACAATCTTCGTGATCATTTATAAAACCAAAATTGTGTTTTTCCTTAAGCGGGTCATCAGTTCAGTCATTAATAGGAGTACATTCAGTAATGTAGTCAATGAAAATAAAGTCTCCTAATTTGATTATTTTTCATTTCTACGGTGCTAGAGTGGAGTTTGCTGAGGGACAAGGATATATTTTAGTTAGCCACAGAACTGGAGATTCAAACTGATGAAAATACATTTTTAATCCATTCCGTTCAGAGTAGGTTGCGCGTCTCTGGTGAGAACGCGTTGACTACCAAAGTCCTTCTCTACCTGCGGGAGTCATCTGTGCATCGTGTCCTCTTCCGCACCCGTGGGATTGCGATGATGCATCTCTTGAATTTTTGGTGGCTCCGTTCTTTTTCTCTCGGGAACTGTGAACTTCGGCTGTTGTGCAGTGATAGTATAAGCTGACCTTCATGTTGAGAACTAAGGCAGCAAGAAAATAATCTAAATCATTAAATAAGACAAGTAATGGCTTTATTTAGGTGAAGAATGAAGTTTTACATAAAATAACAGCTTCATTTTTCTTTTATTTCTTCAAAGTTGGTCTAAGGGGAGATATATTGTCTTTCTGCCTGTTAGGCATAGAGTTTAGAGTAAGACAAGGATACCGAGCTGCGGTAAGAGATAAGAAGACATTAAATTTAACCTACTGTATTTTGAAGAGACTTTAGTGGAGTTTTAATTTTTATGCCTCATACACTTCCTGAAGGGTCGTGCATTGTAACACCATTTTTTTTCTCTTTAACTTCTTGCAATGATAACGCAGATCCTGAATTAGCATCTATAATAGGGGAAGCCACTAAATATGTATAGAGCTATATTTTAAAAGTGATGCCCATATAAAAACCCAATTCTCCTGTCACTTTTAGAGCTGGAGGAACTCCATTGGCTTTGAGCGAGATGCACACCTGGCACATTCCCTTGACGTGGCTTTATTTTGAAGTCACGGTCTGCACAAGTTAGCAGCGAAAAGTATGCGGCGTTTTTTTTTTTTTGACAAAGCCACCCTTGAAGTACACGCGATTGAAAGTCTTCCCATCGAGAAGGCTGACAGGGTTGGGCACTTGCTGACAGCAGTTATCTTTCTTGGGTCAGTAGCAACACATTCCTTATTCAAACATGCAAAGAGAAGACACTTTGCATTAGGAAACGCTGACATTTCTCCCAGTTAAAATGGTTTTCTCGTGTCGCAAGATCAGCTGTCATCTCGCGGAAGGTATTTCTCGAAAGAGGGAGGTCATCCCACCGCGCTGCTCTCGAAACTAGCGGGAAGTGTTCGATTAGTCCCCGAGTCTCTGCTACAGCCTCATTACAACCAATCTTTGACATTTTTTTTGGTAATAAATGCAGCCTGCTGTGGTCCTTAAAGGGAAAAGCCGATTTCTTCGAAGCCAGTGTTGGAGATGCAGCCCCACACCCGCTTTCCACGGCGTCGCAGAATTTCCACTCAGCCTTTCGAGGAGTTCTTTAGAAGATGGTGCGGAACAACGACCCATTTCGGGTCCTTCAGAGCATCTTCTTCATCCCAGGGAGCTTCAGGCCAGGGAAGGTCAGGGCTGTAGCGCGTGATCTTTACAGGAGTATCCACATTAAATTTCATTTCCAAATTTGCTTTATTCTTGCACTGTGGAAAACGAAGCGCTGTTCTTCTCCCGGAGGCATCGGGGATTGGTCGTGACATTTTTTTTGGTAATAAATGCAGCCTGCTGTGGTCCTTAAAGGGAAAAGCCGATTTCTTCGAAGCCAGTGTTGGAGATGCAGCCCCACACCCGCTTTCCACGGCGTCGCAGAATTTCCACTCAGCCTTTCGAGGAGTTCTTTAGAAGATGGTGCGGAACAACGACCCATTTCGGATCCTTCAGAGCATCTTCTTCATCCCAGGGACCTTTGGGCAAGGGAAGGTCAGGGCTGTAGCGCGTGATCTTTACAGGAGTATCCGCATTAAATTTAATTTCCAAATTTGCTTTATTCTTGCACGGTGGAAAATGAAGCGCTGTTCTTCTCCCGGAGGCGTTGGGGATTGGTCAGCACAGGGATACTACTTGCTCATATGAATTCTGTTAAACCCAAAATCCCACGGACGTCTACTTTTATAGATCTCCATTAACCTTTTGGGGTTTTTTCCCTCCCTTTTTTGATACAGCATCTGGCATAAAATAACCTCGGTCTGCAGCTGGGGCATTTTGATAGGGCTGGGTTGTCATGAAATAATGAAAAAGAGCATTTAGAGGAGTGTTTTCATCCTGATACGGAATAAGCATAACCTCCTGCGATGTTATTTTAGAATATTTTTGTCTGAAGATAGAATTTTAAGGCTTTCACCCAGAGCCAGGGCGAAGAACAATATAAGCATCCTACAGCGCAGAGCTGTTCTGGAAAAATCTCACTAAACTCCCACTTTCCAAAAATTCACAGAAATTTTCTGGGGGAGAGAAAAAAAATAATAAAATCTGTGAAACACGGTAAGTTTTTGGGGAAAAAAGTCTGCGGTTTCTTCAAGCCGCCATCATATTGCCAAAATATAATCAGAAGGAACACGAAAACAGCATGTATCTCGATTTCCTTTGCAACCCTCCTCCCCAGCCTTCTTCGCATATGCATGCCTTTAAAATATTCAGGACTGAGGAAAAAAAAATATGCGCAAATATGGCAGTGCTTGACATTTATTGATGTATAAAATATTTATAGAATGTATATTTATACTGCTTGACATCTTATGTATATATACACAGGCATATTTCCAACCTAAATGTGTTACATCTGTCTGCTTTGGGGTGTTACATTGCCCTTATTTGTGGTGTCTTACCTGTGTTTAATGCTCCATAATTTTCCACCTGGGTAATTATGCAAATTACTCACGTTAATGGTGTCCTTAGGAAAAATACAGGGCGCACCTACCCCACTGTAGGAAAGGTGTTGGTTAGCGCGTGATAATTGTTAAATACATTTTGTTTTGAATGAAACTTATGCATATGCTGAACATAAACCGTGAAAAAAAGAAAGCATCAAGCTTTCTCCCAGTTTAGAGAAACACCAGCAATTAAAAAATAAAGGGAGAGAAATGGGGGGAGAGGAGCGACAGTTCTGGCGGAGGCAACGAGAAGCTGGAGGCAAAAGCGGGGTCGGGGTGCGGGAGCGTGCGCGTCGTAAAGAATAACTGGCAGGAATCTCGGAATTACAAGTCTAAAAATTAATTGCGGGCTTCTGGTGACATTGCAATAAACCACGCTAATGAAGATTGAGTAGTTGATGATTTTGTCAGAGCTCTGAAAAATTATATGGTATGTAAACTGCATAGATACTGGTGGTTTCATGTGAGTTTGTGGAATAAATTATACTAGGACTATCGTGTAAAAAAAAAAAAAAGCGTTAAAAATTAACATATGAATGTGATTCCGTCTTAAATTTTTTTTTTTCTTCAGGTTTTTCTGATTTCTTTTTCCTTGAGCCGTGCTAGCAACGCTGGTTCTTCCCAACTCAGCCACTAAATTGTCTCTTTTTGTGCATCTCTAGTGTAAGCAATGCTATTTTTTAAAAACCTCTCGATCGGCATCTGAGTTACCGGCGTTCCCTTAGGAGTGATGTTTTATTTGAAAAAAAATCCATCCACAAAATTTCCCTCGTTGTGGCTGTGTGGTCTGGAGACCCTGATTTAATGGCTCTCTGGCCACGGAGCAAGAAGAGCCCAACACGGAGCGTTGCTGGTCCAACCGCACGCGTCCCTCCGAGCTTTTTCCGGAGGAAATTAGGCGGCTGAGTTAATCAGGACACCTCATCGGTTTTAATTTGCACGCGTCGGGTTTGATCTGAACGGGATCGGGAGCTTTTAGGTATCCGAAATTATTAAATCTATAGTAAACAAGGACCAATCTGAAGGAGGAATGGAGAGGATGGGGCATGGCAGCAGTGCTGGAGGACCGGGGTAGATGCTTCTTTGAGCATAGGTAATTTAGCTCAAAACCAGAAACAATAGCTAAAATCAAGAAAACACTGACATAAAATCTTTGTTCTGCTTGATTTTATGCATTATACACAGTTTTGAAATAAAATAATCTCATTTTCTCCAAAGCGTGCACAAGTTTTGGAGAGCACTCAGGATTAATTGGGAGCGTGGGACTGAAGAGGTGACGATGTTTCGGACTCTGCCTTCATTTATAACCCAAACTGGAAACTCTGTTCTCAATAAGGCAAAGAAAAGAGTTTTTGTAGTTAAGGGGATGAAATGCAAACCCTGAAAAACACAGTTTTATCTGTACATCTGCCGCAGTATTCTTCCAGGCCGCGGGTTTGGTCGCTTGCACGACACGTTTAGATGTTGTAACTGTTTTCCTTATTTTCTCCATCCCCAAATGAGACTTTTTAGTCTGATGTGCAAAAAACCCCGCAATAGGATATTGAGTACTGCGTAACAGAGACTGCTCTAAATCATACTGAACTGAACAAGAAAAAAAAGGAGGGTACTTTGCCCTTTCTCTGGTAGCTTGGCGAGTAGCACCTCTTAGTATCCAACTCCTACCAGTTTAGAAACCTTGGTGGATCCCGTAGGAATTGTAGAAATAGGGACCAGAGGGAAAAAAAATAAAAACCCCACTGGGAAATAAATCGTTTTGTTTGCAGAGAAAAGGTTGAAAACTAGAAAGCATGAACCAAATAGGAAGCTTGACGTGAAATCCCGAATTGCTCTTTCGGCAAGCGGGGTCCTCCCGGAGCCCCGAAGAACCAGAAGTTGGTGGTGTGATTGAGGAGCGCGCTGTAATCCTCGCGGACCCAGGGTCTGAGTTAGGGATGCAAGGGCAGCCTCCGTTCTAACGTTTCTTAGCTCCAGTGCAATTTATTTTATAATCCTCACCTTCTTTTAATTTAGAGGTGGGTTTTTGGTTGTGGTTTTTTTTTTTTTAGTATTATGGCTTTATAAATATTATAAGCAGACATCGGGAACGATGGCTCACGAAATACAATTGGATTTTCTGTCTGAAACAATAAGTCATGGATAGTACTCAGAAATTAATCTATTCTGCCTTCCTGGCAGCTGTGGATATTCAAAACAGAGACCGTTGTTCCTCTACAAAACCTGACAAAATATACGTGGGCTGCGGCGTTCTTGTGTGTGTTTTTCGGTACGATACGGGGGGAGGGAGCTCATTAGCAATTTGAGGAAAACTGTTAATAACATCATATTTCTAATTTCCATCATGCTAGCATTACAATAATGACAAAATTAAATTAGCATATCATATAGCATACAGAAAAACTGTGAATACATTATAGTAACACAAGGCAACAGATAATTGCTACCTTAATAAGAATTCATTTTCAGCAAAGATAATTCGACCTTTTTCTTCTTCCAATCGCTAGGGACAGATTTCCCGGTTATTGATTATCTCCTCATCTTCTCTAAACTCAGTCAGAAGTCCTTCTTGGTTGTCTCAAAATGTCTCTACTCTAAATAATTCTAATTCTGTGTCGTTTGTCCGTGGACTTGTCTTGTGCTTGTATGTGCCCGTCCATGTGTTGACTTGTAGGACCTTGTTAGGTATGCAGTTGGCATCTCATCCTTTGAAATGACTGAGATTTTATTACCTCTGTACTCGCTTAGTGGGAATTATATATATATTTTGTTATACATAAATCGCACATGTCTTCTAAATTGAGGTTTTAATTCTTTTAGTTGGAGAAAAAAACTGTTAACATCAACTGTTTAAATGTATTTTCTGCAATAAATGCTTTCCCTGGTATTTAATCTTTAATAGGCTCAGGGTTAAAGAGACTAATTTGAATTACAGATATATTTTCTATTTATGTCTAATATTTTTTAGACTTACTGAAATGATTTACTTGCTAAGCCTTAATTTATAGCCACTCATTGCCGCTTTCATTTTTTTTCCTCATCTTTTTTGCAGTTCCACCGTGGTTTTTAATTCGCCCTTCAAATCTTTATGCCTACGAGAGTATGGATATTGAGTTTGAATGTGCCGTGTCTGGTAAGCCTGTTCCTACGGTTGAGTGGATCAAGAATGGAGAAGTGGTCATCCCTAGCGACTATTTCCAGATAGTGGTAATTATCTGGCTTTTACTTACTAGATTTTTTTTTTTTTTACGAAGTTGTGAAATGTACTCTTGATCAGATCGTTGCCTTCGTAAATTTGTAGTCTTCCCGATTAAAACAAAATTTCTGCTGCCTCCTGATAAAAATAAGGAGGCTGACCACTTGGGAAGAGCACAAGAATGCCATCGGAGTATGCGGGGATGAAACGAGGAAAGCCAGGGCCTCCTCGGAATTAAATCTGGCAAGGGATGTCAAGGTCAACAGGAAGGGTTTCTTCAAGTACGTCGGAGGCAAAAGGAAAACTAGGGAAAATGTGGGCCCGCTGTTGAACGAGAAGGCGGAGTTGCTGAATGCCTTCTTTGCTTCTGTCCTCACGGCTCGGGCCAACCCTCGGGAGTCCCAGACTTTGCAGGTAACAGAGAAAGTCTGGAGGAAGGAGGACTTTCCCTTGGTAGATGAGGAGCAAGTCAGAGATCAGTTAAGTAAACTGGATGCCCACAAGTCCGTGGGGCCTGATGGGATGCACCCACGAGCGCTGAGGGCGCTGGTAGAAGTCATTGCTGGGCTGCTCTCCATCATCTTTGACAGGTCCTGGAGAAGAGAAGACTGAGGAGGAATCCTATCAAGACTCATAAATCCTTCAAGGGAGGGTGCCAGGGGGATGG